GTGTAGTGAAGATGAGGATGTTGAGATGGATGAGTTGTAAGACAAGAAGAGATAGAATTCACAATGAATCTAATCGAGAGAATTTAGGTGTGGCACCAATAGGCATTAAAATGAGACAAAGTAGACTTAAGTAGGCTGGCCATGTGTGGTGACGATCAAGTACAGTACCTGTTAGGAGGTGTGAATTAGTTTAAATAGAATGACTGAAAAGGGCAAGGGGTAAGCCCAAAAGGAAGTGGTTGGAAGTAGTCCGAAAAGAGATCGAGACTTTGGCCTCACTAAGGATATGACATTTAATAGAGCAGAATGAATAACCAAGATTCATGTAGTCAACCTCAATTAATTGGAAAAAAATGCTAAAATGATGATGATGATGATGATTAATTTTAAGTCATAAAACTAGTGCATCATGTAATATATTATCGGGGTCATCCATTTTCAAGATTTTTAGGTGTTTATATATCTACTGAATCTACATTATGTTTAGAACTTTAAATTTTATAATTAGATGAAAATAGATTTTCATGCTATCATAAGAGTCTCTAACATTGAAAATGCATCTTCAACATGGTTTGGAGAGATGCCTTACTTTGATTGTTTCACGTGCTAAGATTTACGAAACCCTCTTAGATGCGGAAATAATAGGACAAGCAACAAGATGGGGCTTAGTCGGGTCATCCTTGGCCCTGACCGAGACAAAGAGGCCATGGCCCTAGCTCAAACCGGAGCCTGCTCATGTTGGTTTTGGTCTAGCCTAATATTATCAAAGAACCTTACCTCAATCGGCCCAGCCCTACTCTTAGACCACGATGACTCGACCCTAGCTCAGCCCTCAAGCTACTTTTTGTGCCCCAAACCCTAGTTTTTAGGGTCAGGCTGGGCAGGGCCAAGCTAATAAGCCGATTTGAGCCGAGGAAATAAGGAAACTCAAAAGTTAGATCCCAACAATATTATATACTTAACCCGCTGGAGACAAAATATGCAAGAGTATAAGCCATAATAAAATAAATAAATCATAAATGATATATTCCACAAGAACACCAAGATTTATGTAGTTTACCTTAAAAGGGCTACATTCATGGGTATGACAAACTCAAATCCACTCTATTGATGAGTGTTGCATCACAAATTTTGAGATACAAATCATTGTCTGGGAAGAGAAGCTCAAGAGTATATGAGACTTTCTCAGTGATTCAAAAAGTGGACCACCTAGGACCTAGGCGATCCAGAAGGTCTGGGCGATGCAACCAATCTAGGCAGTAGTCTCTGGGCAGTCGCCTAGGCGGTAGTCCCTGGGCAGTCCCTCTGGTACGGAACCTGCCTAGGCGGGCGCCTAGCGCCCAGCCCATGGAGGCCGCTTAGGGCCTGCGCCCCACCCAGAGGCAGAGATTTTTTTTTTTGTATTGTTTTTTTTAAAAAATATGAAGGGTTAGAATGATGGTTTTAAGTTCATTTGAAGCCTAAAACTTATTGGAGCCCATTTTAAAGAGAGAACGCATAAAAAAAATTAGTTTTTTGTGATTTCTTTAAGATCGAAGGGTTTCTCAACGTTGTCAAATATTGATCAAAACATCGCCCATTGATATTAGATTTAATTTTTGATGTTTTATAAATCTATTGGGGGGGTTTTTAAAAGATTTTGAGTCCTTAGAAGCATCTTTGAGGTGCAAGTTTGAAGATTGAGCAATCAAACTCAAAGTAAGTGCCTTAAATATCTAGTTTTTATTTTTTATACTATATATTACTTTTTTATTCAAATGGGCATCTTTTTTGGATTCGACCGCGCCACCCAGGTTCTGGGTGCTTGCCTAGGTGTTGGGCAGCCTAGACCCCCCAGGCTGCATAGGACCCGCCTAACGCTTTTTGAAACACTCACTTTCTCTAACTAAAAAGGGAAGGCACGCAACATTTTCATCGAACCACTTCTCTGCAAGAAACCAATCTCTCACTCTGTAGGAGACACCGATGGAGGTGTTTCTCTGTCTAGGAAGCTATCTTTCCTATATGGTGACCCAAATAGGGTGCACATGTTCTTTCTTATCTTATTTCTTATATATAAAATTATGAATCGCATAACAAATAGATCCCATTGAATCCTGACCAAACTAGACTTTGATGGGTATCTCAACTACCTTAGAAAATGTATTAATAACAATCACATACGATACAAGATTTCTTTATGTGGATAATTTTCAATATCACCCTATCAAATATTTCACCTTGATAACAAAATTACATGCTCACCATGCCAACACCCATCATATAGCTTTATAAATTCCCCTTTTTTGTAAAATAAATCCCTTTGTTGTTCTTGTTGAAAAAGATTTGTGCTTTCTATCATATTTCTGCATCTCAAACAAAGCACTAGGACAACTTGCCACATGTTTTTCTTAGACCGAGTCCATAAACCCAACCTTTGTATTGAACTATGCACTCTGATACCACTTGTTAGAATTTAAGATCCCTTTTAGATGCAAAAATAGAAACCTCAAAGGTTAAATCCCACATGATCATGTACTTAACTCACATAATATAAAAATTTATGTCAGTCACCCTAAGAGGGCCACATTCATATGCATGGCAAATTGATATTCACTATACTAATGAGAGTTACATTACAAATTTTGGGACACAGAGTTATCTCTTTGAGCATCGACAAAACCAAGTCGAGGAACCCTTTTACTTTCCAGATCGACATCATTCCATAATATTACAAGTCTATTCCATAACCACTATCTTAGAAAGAGAACTATGAAAGCAATTGAGGCTTTCTTATACTAAAAAGGTGATACCACCCAAAATCTGTATGTAAAACACTTCTCTACAGGAAACGAGCCTATCACTCTATAGAATCCACCGATAGAGAAGTTTCTCTCTCTAAGAAGCTACTTTTCCCATATGATGACTTTTTTCTTTTCTCACTCATTATATATAAGGTTCTTAAGCTTATATTAGATAGGAATCCCATTGACGTCACATACATCACAAACTTAAGATATAACCAAGAAATCTAATCGAGTTGGACATTAATGGGTATCCTAACTAATCTAAGAAATTTATCAATATCAATCCCGTGTAATAGGGATTTCCTTATGGGGGTGATTTTCATTATCACCATATCAACCATAAGGTGGATGCCTTATATAAACCCTCCCTTCTTTTATTGATAAGAATCTTTCAACTCATACACATACAGTTCATATGTGTTTAGAGACCTACAACAGTCAGATCTTAATTGGACAAGTGTAAGTGAGCTAAGAATATTATCACATGCCGGCACCAACAATATTTGTCAAACCTATGTGATATTATTATCGATCCTATAGTGTAGATCAGATCGCTAATACATGTTTACCAAACTATTCCACAAAAACCAATGAACAAACCCAAAAGACTTAAATTTTGGAAAATTACAAAATTTTGGAACTAAAATTTTGGAAATCCCTTCTGGTTCGGTTTCTAGCTAGACAAAAAAGAACCATTCTCATGGATCTTGAGCCCGAAACCATGGATAGTGTGCGCACTGGTCCTTACGGCCAAATCTTTAGGTCTGATAACTTTGTGTTTGGTCAATCTGGTGCTGGAAATAACTGGGTCAAAGGCCACTACGTAGAGGGGGCAGAGCTCATTGATTCAGTGCTTGATGTGGTGAGGAAAGAGGCAAAGAACTGTGATTGCCTTCAAGGATTTCAAGTATGTCATTCTCTTGGTGGATGGACTGGATCTAGAATGGTCAACATTTTGTAACGGCAAAAAAGTGAGGGGGCTTGAGAGGCAAAATGTAGAGAGAGAAAATGGGAGCTTGGCTCCCTATTGGGCTATGGCCAAGAGTGGCCTGTTGTGTGGGCTTGTAGTGCTTGTGAGGCATGGATGTTTACCTTTGCTTGTTCTCCTGATTTTGTTACATGTGATACTATTATCAATGGATAAGAAAACTAAATGATGAGTTCAGGGCCAAGAAAGCGTTGAAAACCAAAGCAGTAATGTTCTTTTGAATGGTGAGTTCAGGGCCAAGAAAGCGTAGAAAACCAGAGAGATGCAGGGAGAGACTTGATTTTAGAGAGAGAGATAGAGTTTCGGTTTTAGAGAGAGAGACGGTGATGTGAGAGAGAGATGGAGTTTGAGTTTTAAAAGAAATAGAGTTTGAGAGAGAGAGAGAGAGAGAGAGAGACAGTGATGTGAGAGAGAGAAGGAGTTTGGGTTTTAGAGAGAGAAATGGAGTTTAGGGAGAGAGAGATACAGTGATGTGAGAGAGGGATGGAGTTTTGGAGAGAGATACAGTGATGGAAAAGATGGAGACTTTTTGCTTTACAAATAATATTTTCAATTTTTGATTCTCATGAGATATGGAAGTTAAAAACATGGGATAATGAGATATTTTCCCTAGAAGCATATTCGATAAAGACTTTTACTATGGATAAGGAGTATCCATTCTTGAAAAAGAGAGCATCACAAACTTCAAGGGGATCCAATGCCAAAATAATACGTGCAAAAGTAAATATTTAGCTTAAGAGTAATGTTTTCCCCCTATTGCTTCCATTAATCATATTTTTAGTAAGCTCCTATTCCTTCCATTAATCATACTTTTAGCTTACTAACTTTGAAAGAAAATTTTACTCTATTATTTACTCTTATCACTATGATGTTCTTCTAACCTAGAGCTTTTCATTTCTTAGGGTTTCCTGAAGTTCTTGTGTAGATCTCAGTATAGAAATCCCTACTATTTGTGGTCCTTCCTTGTGCACATGCAAATGTAAAAGTTAGTCGATGATAGATAGAAACAATGACTACATATTGGATAAGGACTTCTACTATGGATAAGGTGCACTTCTACTGTGGATAAGCGGCATCCATTCTTGAAAAAGAGAGCATCACAAACTTCAAGGAGATCCAATGCCAAAATAATTTATGCAAAAGTAAATTTTTATATAACTGAAGGTAACCTCTCTATGTGATATTTACCTTCTATGTTGAGATTCCAAGTGGGATTCTGACCATCCTCATGTGAATGTCGTTTTGCTTGAATGAAAAAAAGAAATGGATTTGGAACAAAGCTCCAAAGAATTTCTTCTAAGTTTACAAAAATAATGGAAATCATGCCAACCTCTTGTTTCCCGTGAACACTTGCAAGACTCCATAGGAGGCCCCCACAACAAGGGTGCAATACTCCTCATCCCTAGTCTGCCTCCAACAAACACTACTCACAAACCTGGCCCCACGAGCCCTTTGGCACCCACTAGGCTCATGTCCACGAGCCCTTTGGCAACCACTAGGTTCATGACCACAAGCCGTTTCGCACCCGCTAGGTTGATGAGGTGGAACCCACTCACCCCCATCCGGCCTGAGCCCCTGGACCCATACTGGCTCTCCCCACCTTCGATCGTAGACGTACACTTCGTTGCTCTCAGAGCCGCACCCTAGGAGCCCTCCAGTCCTCCACACTGACAACCCCACGAAGTTCTTTGTGTTGGAGTGCCCCTCGAAAGTGCGCACAACCCGGAGCTCACTAATGTCCCACAGCTTCAGGCACCCATCCACTCCCGCAGAAACCACTGAGCCTTCTCCGAGAAAGCGCACATAACTAACTGCGCGTGCATGGCCTTTCAGGATTGCCAGCGGGCCTGCGCCAAGGGCCCGAACATCATATAAGTAGACGTTTTTGTCCGCAGAGCCAATGGCAATGAGAGGATGACATGCAGGACTAAACTCGATTGAGCATACCGGAGCATAAGTCACAATTCCCGTACCGGTGCCGGTGCCGGTGCCGGTGCCAATGCCAATGCCGGGACGCAGTGAAGCCACTGGTGGATTGGAAGTACCCAACCTTGTGTCCCATAAGTGAGCAGCCCCATCATCACCCCCGGAGGCCCCGAGGGCTGGAGTGTGGGATGAGTAATCCATGCTCCACACCCGGCGACCGCCATGGTCATCACGCTCACCTACTGGCACTCGTTGCTCGAGATCGTACTCTGTGACGACACCGTCGTAGTCGCCGCAGCCAACACGTGAGGGACTTGTGTCTTGTCTCCACTTCAGGCTGGAAAGCTTGGCTGGTGTGCATAGATAGAAGTCACCAGCTGAATTATGGTCCCAATGCCTAGTCCTGAGCTGCTGGCCTTGGTTTTGTTGGTGGTGGTTTTCTTGGGTTCCACAGAGAGTGCTGAGAGAGTAGATTCTTATCTTTCGGGCTTTCCCGGCGGTGGCAATGAAGCAGTGGGAGTGGTCGAATTCGATAGCAGCAATCGTGTCAGAGTAGTCAGCCAGATGAGAGGGCGAGATGAGTGCGGAGAGGGTGAAGTCCCACTCACATCTCGCCTTGCCGTCTTCTTCATCTTCTTCTTCTTCTTCTTCTTCTTCTTCCTGCTTGGGGCTATTGGGGTGGTCTCTGTTTTTCATTGCCCATCCACAATGGATTGATAGCCCCTCTCTCTCCCTCTCTCTCAATTTCAATTTGAATAGGGGGATATCTCTCTCTCATACAATGGTATGACAAGAAGAAGATCGATCTCTCTCTAACAATGGGATGAGATGACAAGCTAGAAGAAGATCTTTCTCTCTCTCTCGAGGATTTGGATTTCTCTCTCAAGGATTTGGATTGGTGGATCTCGCTCTCTCTCAGACCAATGGATTGAGAAGGTAAAAGAGACTGGGCAATAAAACAACAGACTTCGGTCTTTTCTATAGCCCTGTAGTGTGACTTGCCCTCCCGTTCCCCAACTCTCTCTGTTCCTCTTTCTCCTTCTCTTTCTCTCTCCTCTCTCTGTCTCTCTACATAAGACGATAGCATGAGATGCTTTGAAAAGAGGGTGGTGCACAAATTAATTGTTAATTGTAAGCCAGTAAGTCTCTCTCTTTATAGTGTTGTAGGGTACCCCAGATCTCTCTCTCTCATTTAGAATACTAGGGAATTCTCTCTCTAGGGTTAGGTTTGTATAAGGTATCAACCTTATACTATTGAAATACGGTGCACTTCAAAACCAGGCTGGAAATGCACTTCCGGTCCCACAAAGCCTTACAATGACATATATAAATCTATTGTTGTCTCTGATTATTAAATTTTTTTTAGAAATGGTGACGATCGGATCCAAAAACACTTGGAAAATATGGAAAATGAATGCTCTAAATAATGTGTTAAAAAATGAACCATTTTTAAGACTAAAATTCATCTTTTCCATATCTATAAATCTCAAAATCGTTGAAGGCTTTCTAGCATAAAAACAACCTTCTCTAATAGGTTTTTTTAGGTGCATAACACCTTATATAAACTTTTTCCTTCCCTCGATTCGTGTTTAATTACACAAAACATCTAGGTTTTGGACCAATAAGAAAGTCAGCGATAGGATGTCTCTCTCCCTCTTTCTCTCTCTTTTCTCTCTCTCTAAAGAGTTGGAATACAAGGTTGGAAATAGTCTCTCTCTCTAAGGAGTTGGAATATAAGGTTGGGAATAGTCTCTCTTTCTCTCTCTAAGGAGTTGAAATCAAGGTTGGGAATAGTCTCTCTCTCTAAGGAGTTGAAATCAAGGTTGGGAATAGTCTCTCTCTTTAGGGAGGGTTGGGAATATAATACATCTCTCTCTAAGGAGTTGGAATGCTAGATATAAGGTTGAGAATAGTCTCTCTTTCTGTCTCTCTAAGGAGTTGGAATATAAGGTTAGGAATATAACCTCTCTCCCTCTAAGGAGTTGGATATAAGGTTGGGAATACTCTCTCTCTCTCTAAGGTTGGGAATAGTCTCTCTCTCTAAAAGGAGAAGGAAGATAAAGGTTGGGAATGGAGGGGGAATAGTTCTAGTGGAGGAGGCGTGGGGTGGAGTGGTGGTTCCTTTTGTGCCTCATTTTGCAGCAAGTGGTCTAAGTTTTAAGGCGTATTTGAGATGCTACGTGGTTGAAGGCACACCAAATGTGTACCCCTTATCCTGCACCATGAAAATTGATTCCACCCCCCCCCCCGCCCCTTCAAATTTTGTGGGCCTCCCAAATAAAACATAAATTTCAATCATCTGAAAATGATGATTCGGTGTGGATATTGAATGGGGTCATGGGCTGGCAACTGGATTTATTGGGATAATGTAAAATTGGGTGCCTGTATGGTTCTCCAGTTGACAATCACAAATAGCTGAGATAAGGCTTTAATGGTGATGACGATGATATTACAGTCCTATTTTAGAATATTATAAATCTACTCCTAATGTAATATCACTGTTGTTAAATTCAGTGCTTGTCAAAAAACAAATATCAATGTTACTAAATTCGCTTCGCTTCGACCGAAGAAGCCGACGTCTTCAAATTTTAGTCTTAGATTGAAGCAAAGCGAAGCTTGGTGCTTCTGCTTCAATCAGGTTCTGGTTTCTTCGGTCAGATTTGAGGCTGCTTTGGTAGAACTCGGCCTCTTCGGTCTAAGAAAAGAAATATCTCAATAAATTATTATTATTTTGAATTTTTTTATTTTTATTTTTTATTTTTATTTTTTTTTATTATTATTATTATTATATATATATATATATATATATATATATATATATATATATATAGTACGTACGTCCCTACCCTAACGT